GAAGATATCAGAATTGACTCGATGACAATAGGTAGATAGTACAGAGACTTATGCAAAATGCTTATTGAATAAATAAATAAACAGTGGATGGATGACTTACTGCATAAACCCAACTCTGTAAAAATCCAGTCTAGCTGGAAAGAGAAATGGGAAATTAGACAGCTTTGTCCTGCTGATGTTCTTAGTGGGCGATTCAACGTGAAATAAAAGTAAGAAAAAAATGGTAAGGGAGGACAACATGAGCAGGAATTCTTTTCCTTCATGGTTTCTTCTCTGATGGTTGCTCTATTGCCTGTGCTCTGAGAAGTGTTTAAAATTCACTACTGAATGGTTTACATACAAAGCCTTGACTTCTTTTGAAGATTACCATACAAATGTACTAAGGGAATAAAATAGATAAGAACATTAGATTAAGAAAACACTGCTGGCTCTAAATATATTTAGAGTTCCCTAACAAGGAGAATTTCCACACAGTCCTAATCAAGGGAATATAGGGAAGACATGTCAACATTGTAGGCTATTAATAATTCATTTTTTTTCTTAACTAGAGAACATGTTATATGTTTGAACATGGAAATTCAAGAAGTAAGCTAAGATTAGGTAGCTTCACAAACACAAAATGAGCAAAGAGATAAGTGCTTAAAGTCCCAGAGAATGTGAATAGAAAAGAAACTTCTCAATATTTGGCCTCCAGCTTGGACACTTGAGCGTTTTGATAGCAGAGCTCAGATCCACTTCTATCAAATTGATCTTGACCCACAGGGCCATCTATTGGGTTTTCGAAACTCTGGCTTTACAGAGGAGTTGTCTATCTTTTTCCCAGGGAGCAGCTTGTGGCCTCAAACTGCTCACTTTCTGATTAGGAGCTCAACAAGCAATGCACTCAGAATGCCATAGGAAGAGCCAAAGGAGGCACCATAAACGAAGACTGAGCTTTCCTGTTGACTCTTCTTTACAATCTCAGGCTTGATCTAGTCCTTCATTATAGCCCAGAGTTCAGGCATTTAAGAATATTCTCCATTCACATTTTTAAATTTTTTTATGTGTGTGTGTGTGTGTGTGTGTGTGTGTACCGTCAAATCAGATCTCACTGGTACTGGAAAAGATTGTCCCTCCTTCTCCAGCAGAGCATCTGGTGGATTTGAGATTCTCACCTCTGGACCAATTGGCAGCATCATGATGGATGGTGAAGAGATTGAGATTTTTCACAGCTTCAGTTTGCTTGGCTCCACAGTCAACACTCTCGGCACCAGTAACCAGAAAATTAGAAGACGTATTGCCATGGGAAAGTCTGCTGTTAGGGACCTCTCCAAAGTACTGAAGAGCAATGGTATCTCTTTGGAGATTAAGGTGCGTCTGATACAGGCCATGGTCTTTGCTATCACTTGTTATGCATCAGAGAGTTGGACAATGACTAAGGAGGATAGAAGGAGAATTGATGCCTTTGAGCTGTGGTGCTGGAGAAGAGTATTGAGAATACCATGGACTGCTAGGAAAACAAACAGATTCATCCTGGAAAGGGGCAAACTGGGCTGTTCCTTGGAGGCAAGGATTCTAAGGCTCCGCCTAACATACTTTGGACATGTTGCAAGGAGTGACAGGAGGGGCAGCGCATAGGGGAAGGCCCCCTATGAGGTGGATTGATTCAGTGACTGGGGTAATCGGGATGGGTGTATCAGAGATGGTGCGATTAGCACAGGACAGAGCAGAATTTAGGATGTTGTACATAGGATCGCTATGAGTTGCAAGCGACTCGATGGCACATAACAACAACAACAAACCTCTGGAATTGTAGTGCAGCTTCTTGCCATTAGGCCACCAGAGCTTCCTTCCTCCACTCATATTGTTAGCATAGTGATCTTTAATAAAACACATATCAGATTCTAATCTTCTACTATTCAAAAAAAACCCCTCCTTAGCCTTTACAGTTGATATATTCTTGAAAGTGGAGGGAATCATTCATTTTGAGGATTGTTATGGTCATGCGCCGTCAAATCTACCTGTGACTCATAGTGACTCTATAAACAACAGCCCTAAACCCTGCCCTGTCCTGTATTAATCCCACTGTCTCCAACACAGCTACTCCCATTACCCTAGTCACTGAATCAATTCACTTCATAGAGGGTCTTCCTCTCCTGCGCTGTCCCTCCACTCTCCCAAGCATGATGTCCCTCTCCAAGGACTGGTCCCTCCTTGCAACATGTCCAAAGTATGTCAGACAAAGCTTCAGAATCCTTGCCTCCAAGGATCTGAAAAATGATAGGGAAACAATAGGCCCATTTTTGGAGCCTCATTTCACTCAAGGGCAAGTAGTTTAAAATATGTTTTTAAACATTAAATCATATACTATAGCTATCTATCTATCTATCTATCTATCATCTATCTATCTATCTATCTATCTATAGATAAATATCACTGTACCAAATTATAGGGATTTTAAAAACATTAAATTTTAAAAGAATATCATCATCCTGATGTTGCAATTTACTCAGTTCCCCAGTGTACTCTTGTGACAAAGTAAAGAAGCACCATCTAGAGGAGAGAATTTCACCAGCTTCCCACAATCAGAAGCTCTTTTTCAGCTGGTCCTTTCACTGATCCAGGAAATAATTTGTTCTCACAAGACACATAGGCCTTGGACTTGTACATCTTTGTTCATTCTCTGTACTCTCTCTGGAATTCCCATCCTGACCCTTATCCACATAATCAACTTCTCATTCATTCAGCAAATATTTGATGAACTCTGCTCTCTGTTACGTGTTCTGCTAGGTCCTAAGTGAGTCCTGAATAGACAGACAGCAAGCATAAGAGAGTCATATAAGAATATACACAAGCCGACTTGTGATGATAATGACTGACATCATATGTACCCAGCACTGTACTGAGTCCTTTTTATCTTAAACTTCTTGCATTAACTCTGATAAAGGAGTTATGTCATCCCTTGAATCCATTCAATAAAACTCGTTTGCTTCCATGGCTTCCAAATGACTTAGCCAGAACTAAAGCAAATCCAGGTGACTCCAAGTTATGCTTTTCTATGTTATTTATTGTTACTAGGTGTCATCGGCTCAACTTCGACTCTTAACATCCCATGTGAGAAAGAGTAGAATATCCCTAATGAGTTTTGTTAGCTGTAATCTTTCTGGAAACACACTTTCTGTCTCTTATATAGCAACCAGGTGGGTTTGAACTGTCAAACTTTTGGTTAGTAGGAAAGCGGTTAATAATTTATGCCACCAAGGCTCATTGATTATTACTTATTCTTCAGCTTGATAGGAAACTTTCTAGATCCAGCTAAAGGCCAAGGGACGAAAGCATCCTGGCTATGTTAAACATTAAAATGTACACTTGAGATGCTCTATGTGACATGCATAATTTTTCACCTCAAATAAACATAGGCATCTTAAGTCTCATGAATCATGGTCTTTAAACAGCTATTTCAGATAATACATAAGAAGTTATTTACAAACAATACCACAGCATTTGAACTTACTACAATTATAGAACAAATTATTAATATAACTTTCTTCAATATTTGGATAGAGTTGGTCAAGTTTATATAGATTATGTAGATGTTTTATGAAAAGTTGTGCCAAGCAAGCATATTTAGTACATTGTTTGCACAGACTGTTTATTTGATGCAAGTCTTAGAGAAACGTGATCTCAACAAAGTAAATGCATCATAAATAACAGCTAGCCAGGTACTGTCATGATTGGTGTTTTGACAAAATAAATACGAGTAATTTTATCTATTTTTAAAGCAGAAGTCTAGCTTGGTGGTACCCGTTTGACTCTAGTTTAGAAAGTTCTGGACAGGAAAGGAGAAAAAAAGTAGAATAAATTCAAAACCATATTAATGACCAGACTTACTGATCTGATAGGGAATAAAGGTTTCTGTGAAACTGTGACTATTTAACATCCTTCAAACCTAAAATCCTTCCTACTGAATCCACCCTCACAGATCAACTTTCAGTCAGTGTTGTCTTTGTCACATGCCATCGAGTTCAGCTGGAATTAACTCACAGCTGACTGTCCAGCAGATTTTCACAGGCAGTAAATCATGTGAGAAGAGACTGCCCATCCTTCTCCCATGGAGGAGCTAGTGGATTAAAACCTGGTGCCTTTGGGTTAACAGTGCACTTCCTTAGACACTAGACCACCTAGAGAGCCCAAATAATAGACAGGCCTACATAATGCATAAAGAAATGCATTCTTTAATGCAACCATCATATGAGATCAGCAGAGCAGCTTTGGCCCCAACCAGTTCAGCTAGCAGAAATAGGCAGGCGGTGGCACGGGGGGGGGGGTGGCTGGTGGGGAGAAGAATAAATGGAAACAGGGAAGCCAGAGAAGAAATAGAAAGAATGCTGCACCATTGAGAGTATCACAACTAATGTCACAAAAGAAAACGCATATAAATTGTTGAATTTAAAACAACTTGCTCTGGAAATATCCACCCAAACTACAATTTTTCAAAAGTGTCAATATTTATTTTAAAGCAATAAATTGCTCTCAGCCTTTACATAATTTTTGACAACTCTTTTGCTATGCAACTTGATTCAGATCTGATTGCTTTGGAGATTTAAGCCTGAAAAAGGAGGCAGTAACTAAGAGGAGATCCCAATAAGTCACCTAGAGCGTCAATAGATACATTCAATATCTAGTTCTTTATAAAAAGCATGCTTTAATAATGTGATAGTTGGCAGGAAAGCCATAGATATCCAAACATGATGAATAGCCTCTCAGCCATGGCCACAATAGAAGCAACAGTATCAATTCAGCCAATTTCGACTTAGTCTTGTAATAGATAAAATCCCAGGATATACCTTCATTTATCAGTTACATTTGGGGTTATTTAAAATGTCAAGATAAATGCAAGTGCAAATAAAAGGTATTTCTATTCATAATAATTTATTATTATCTTAGGGAATAAAAGTTTGCTACAAGACCCAGAAACGAATGCTCAAAGCAGCCAATATGGAAAGTAAACCATGTCCTACCTGCGTGACCTTCTCCGTCACATTGTGCGTTCGGTCTTTAACCTTGGGTGCAATAATGGTTTTATCTGACGAAGGAGGGGATGTATTCTTTTTTTCTGTTTTGACATCTGAAAAGTTCAGAGTGAGCTGTGGAATCTTGTTAATGGTGCTGTATTTGTTGAGGTTTGAATCCGATGTGGATCCCAGAAGGCTTGACTTGATGTGATTAAAAGGCCCTAAAAAGTTGGAAAGTATTTGTAAAAATGATTTTATGGAAAAAAGGGGAAGAAAATGACGGTCTTGAGTGACTGGCTATTGAATCACAACCAATATTGTCCTAACTCAGACCTTACTAATGCAGCCTGTTGATATCTGAACACAGGGTTTCAGGCCACTTTCTGATGAATAAGACATAAAACCATGGAGGATTGGACTGGACCCTGGGTGTGCACCTAAAGAGATGGTTGGTTTAGCTCTTTATTGATTTTCACTAAGCTTTGGAATAAACAGCAGATCTCTATTTCCTGTTAGCCAAATTCTGACTTCAAAATTTCTCATGAAGTTTATTTTTTAATCTAGAGACAATCCAAGGATTTGCTTATTGTTAAAATCATGTTGGCCATGTAATTTCTGACAGGATGTCTGCCCTATTACAATGTGGATTAAAGCTTTTATCTCTAACTAAGAAGTTGCAAGACAGTTCATTACTTCACATGCTTTGTTTTGTGTATAAGATATTGCCACAGAGTATCTAGAACAGGTAGACTCTCAGGTGGGGGAGGTACAGATAAGGTGAGAAGGACAAAAAGGGGCCTGTAACTCTAACACCCTGCACAGTTTTAAAACACGGTCTTTCACTTCCCTCTCCTCATATCCCTCTGCATTCAGATTTGTCTGAAAGGGAAGCATCCATAGATAACACCAGGGAGATGTTCCAGCAAACATAATTCATGATGAAGATAACGAGATAAGTAATGAGACGCGTATGTACTTAGTAGTGCTCGGTCAATTCTCATATCCACTTCCTGTATGGCTAAACCGAAGAGATGCCAGGACTCCTGGGTCTCTTCATAGAGGTGAGTAAATTGATCAATGACATCCTCTCTTGAGACAGAACCTATTGCCCATTGCTGATGCAGAGTCAAGAAAGGCTCTAAGAAGTTTTATTGAGCGATGTGAAATATTACACATACTACACTATTATTTGTCCCTGAAAGTTTGCATCAAGAAGATGCTTTAGAAACTCTAGAGAGATTTCCAAAGAAATTGTTAGCACATAAAAACTTCATAAATGAATTTGCTAGTCTTTTGTCTTTCTCATTTTCCCAGTCTAGAATAAAATACGTTTTTGGAATCAAAATGCACTTTAAGCACTGAGTGAATTATTGATGATTAACAGACTGCATTTTATGCAACAATAGAAATCAACTCAGATCAGATATTATTTTAAGAAATAAATATGCCAGCAATGTGGTTTATATTTTTATTGTGGGGGACAAAGAAATCCACTATTTTGTTTGTAAAAGACGAAAATGTTTTTGCGAACAGTTTGCAGCTATTTAAGCTGCAGTTTTGTGCACTCCCTGAGTTTGGTCCATGAGGAAGGTGAAGCCCAGCAAGATGATATGTATCATTGGGCTCTCTTGGCATTTATTACTGGCTATGTTCTTATTTGCATATAGATTTTCACTCTCTTTCCTATTTCTCCAAAGATAGAAATAAATGCCCTGTGTGGTACCAAATTAATCTAGCTTTCAGATAGGCCTCTGACAGGGTCCTCATTCTCCAGGTCTCTGTGGATATTCTCACCATGTAACACTGATTTATTATTAAAACATATTCCAGAGAGTGTTTGCTTGTGTGTAACTTTCTATGGTTATACTCCAGACTAAACCCCCCCCCCCAAAATCAACCTTTATTTCCAACAAGTCAGAACTGACCCACAGTTGATCCTTTAGTGGGTCTTTGGAGGCTATAAATCACAGGGAAGATTGTATGGTGGCGGGGTGGGTAAGGAATTCCACTGCCAACCTTAATGTTAGAATCCATCAGTTTATCCTTGGAGATGCATGGGCAATCTTCCATGCTATTTACAGCCTGTGAAAACCTGCTGAAGAGTCAACTATAAATCGGTTCTGACTGAAAGGTACAGAACAAAAACAATAACAACAGCAACATATGACATAGGAGGAGAGTGCCCATCTTTCTCCTGAGGAGCAGCTCGTGGATTTGAACTGAGTATCTCTGCCTTCGGTTAGCAGGACAACTCTCAGCTGATTAGGCCACCAAAGCTCCGAGTTAGACACCTAGATTATGTATTTACCTGGAGATTAAAATTTAGGTAATTTTATTGTAAAAAGAAATACTGACAAGGAATCATCAATCATCAAATTTGGTATATAGTTGAATTGTATATAAGATTCTTAAAATTCTAGGCCAATAGTATTTATGAGTTTAATTTTTTAAGTAAATCATCTATAGATCAAAAAATAAGGGTAAAAACAAATTGTCTATGATGTATAGATTAAACAGAAGCACACCGTTTATCTATTTTGATTGCCCTTGGGACTAGTTTTAAAAAATTACTGAGTTGGGTGTTTGGGTAAGTATGTGGGCTCAAATACAGCCGGGTTTCACTCTAAGCAGCATTGCAGCTCTGATAGAGATATTCTTGGTTGTCAGCAACAGAATGTTATTTCCTCATCCTGAAAAAATTATTCACTGTGTCCCACTGGATATTGAAGCAAGAGCAAAGACAGATTAACATTCTTGGAATCAATTGTCAAGAACTATGTTACAAATAATTAGTATTTTTTTCCTAAACACCTTAAATTCCTATTTCCCTATGTATGTAAAAGATGTGTGACAGAGGAAATACATATTGTAAACACTAAAGAGTTGGCATTATCTGTCTTGGAGTTGCCAGCTGTTTTCAACTTTACTTTCCCTGATCTGCCAGAACTTTGTTTTGACTGACATTTATTTTTTGAAGAAAACTACTAGTCTCCATTCCCTGTCAAAGTCTATGGCTTTTAAAGTCTTTTTTAAGCGAAAGAGGATGAATATGTCCTGGCATTTAGTGAAATGTCTTCCTTTGTGCAATCATTGAGAATAATTTTGACACTTAAAAGCAAGTACTAGCTCATTTGTATGAATATACTTCCTCATTTTCTCCACAACCAGTCTTAAAAATATTTTCCACTTTAAAAATTGTGCATAAATAAATATCCTTTGTTATTATTTATTCCAATAATAATTTTAATTGTTACTTATGTATAACCCTGCATTATTATTTTATATAGTGTTTATATAGAATGCTTTCTCATGACCTAAATGCCTTTAAAGTCTAATTATTGCCTTATTATCTTCTAGTGAAGCTATTGTTCAATATTGGTGCACCAACTCCAATATTTTATTATAATAAAAATTATCTTGATTATATAATTGTCAGGGTAACATATTGGCCTTTTAGAGAGAGCATAGGTAGGTTACATTAATGCTGAATATAATCTCAGAATTGTAAGTCAATAAAGCAAAACATTCACTGAAACAAATAAGCATTGGGTCTAACAGCTTTGAGAAACCACTGGTCAATATTTCAACTGCCTCACAGTCCTGAGTCTACTTCTTATTTACTGTTGGCAAAACCTCCTAAATGCGCATTTTATTTTTCAAAAGTCTCAGTGTTGGAGGGCTAGTCTAAATTACATTTTAAATCTTTATACTTAATGAATTCAGAAAAACTTAAGTTATTATAATTCAGGCATGATAGTTAAAATATTTACAGTTTATTTCATCATATATAATACAGGTCAGTAAGCTTCTTTTTTATTATTTTAAAACAGAAATATTCAGAAGTATTTTAAAGTCTGTGGAATGACCAGTGTTAACTTAAGATCTCCTAAAGATGTGGTTCGAGGCCACCAAATGTTCCATTGGAGAAGAATGGGCAATCTCCTCCTTTGCGATTAACTGCCTCTGAAAACCCACTGGAGGGTCATCTATGGGTTGGTCCAACTCAAAGATGCACATCAACAACATAACAAACCCTATTAAAATGTAATGTTAAAATTCCAACATTTTCATTAAGGTAAGTATTAGAAATGTCTTATTTCACTGATTGTTGCTGTTAAGTGTCATAGATTATAAACCTAAAGCAAGCACATAGAATAAGAGAACAAACACGAATAACATTGAAGGGCTTGAAATCAGAATACATGGGAAAAAATAGTCTCAACTGAGAGTAATTGTAACAGATGGAATTTAGGGTTCTAATCAATAATGAAGCCTCTGTTGGGCTAGTGAGTAAAGAATTTTATTGTCAACACAAAGGTAGATTATTTGAATCCACCAGCAGCTCTATGGGAGAAAGACGGGCAATCCCTTCCCTGAGTGATTTATGAGTCATTCCAACTCCATGGTTGTCTATTAGTCAGTTCTGACTCCATACCACATAACAACAACAATCAAAGAAAGAAGAATAACCTGAAAGGTAAGGTAAAGTAATGTAAAGACAATGGACACTGGAGGAATAGACTCACCAGGAAGGAATACAGAATCAATAGTATAAAAGCAAACTTGATTCTTTAGAGAAACATTTGTAAGATGGATAATCAGATTAAAATTTCCAATATAATAAGAGGAGAGGGAAGCCAGGTGACCAAGTAAACAGAATCAGTATCCAGGTAATATATTACAAGGTTATTAGGTTAGATTTTAGCTGCAAAGAAATCAGGGCTTGGAAGAGAAACTACCCCCCAGATAGTTTTTATAAATCTCCAGGCGATTCTTGTGTCTACATTGTTAAAATGTAGATTCTGAATCCATATAACTGGGGTGGAAATGAAGATTATCATCAGGGAGTAATGGGGAAAAGGAAATTGGAATGAACCAGTTCCAGTTCTGCAAAAAAAATACCCTATATCCTCAGGGAGCTCTGGTGGCCTTGTGGGTAAGTAGTTGCTTTGCCAAATCAAAGGCATGAGGTTAGAATCCACCCCAGTGTCTTTTGAAAAAGGTGGACAATATCCTTCCATTACATTTGTTGTTGTTGTTGTGTAACATCGAGTCAGAACCAACCCATAGCTAATCCTCTGACTGATTTTCAGAGCCAGTTAATCGCATGGGAGGAGATTACTCATCTTTCTCTTGCGGAACAGCTGGTAGATTTGAACTGTGTGCCTTTGAGATTGCAGAGAAGCTTCTTGCCACCAGAGTCCATTAGATTTACAGCCCCTTAAAACCTTCTGGAGGCTTGGTTCTAACTTATGACATATAATAACAACATACCAACTTGGACTCTAAAAACCACAACTGAGAAAAATCCAGATGTAAAAAAATCCCACCTCATTGTCATCCAGTCAGATTTGACTTAAAGTCAAAACTTCAATGAACTGTTAGTGAGACTTTCAATCTCAGGGAGAAGACTTCACAGTCTGAGGAGACTCAAACTGCTACAGAGATGCCACCTCTGGGTAAATGGTAGAGTTCTCTATGGACGATCCCACCAGAATTCCCTGAATTTTAGACTAAAGATAATTAAAATTTATATAATAAGGTTATTTAAATTTATCATGAGACACAATATGTTAAAAGAGAATATATACTCTTTCAGATGGTACTGGAAACATAGGTTTTTGGTTTTTTTAAAAATAATACTCTTTTTGGAAAAAAACTGTTGCTCTTGAGGGAATATGCTAAATGGGGTAGAGAAGAAGAAAACCAAATAGGATAAGGTTGTTTTCTAATCACAAGGTCTTTAATTCAGTCTTTCTTACCCACTAGGTTTATTTGACTGAAGTTTAATGAGGCACAAATTGTGAAAATGCCTTAGCACCAAAGAAAATGAAAACACAATGCTTCATAATCAAACTTTTCCCAAGATTTACAAAAGAACACAAAATAACAAAATAATACAAAATACGAATTCAGTCACCAGTTTAACATGTGGGGATTTTTTATATCCAATATCCATAATCTCTTCAAAAATGCATGATATGTATTTTACAGATGACAACTCTTTCCATTGAAAACTAACTTGCAAGTGCTCATGAAATCACAAGATACGGCCAGAGTTTGCTTCTGAGAGACAAGCTGTATTCTATCAATTGATATCCCTTCTGAATCATTGACAAGTTTCTTGTTAAGGTGAAAAATACATTAAATCTTGAGAAGAGTTTTGTTTCTATCTCCTACGACACATTCATTGACAAGTTGGGAACTAAACATAACTACTGTCAGAAAAGTTCAGGGATAACAAGTTTTGGGATATTGAGATAGTGGAAGTGACGCTATTGCTGTTAGATCTCATTGAGTCAACTACAACTCATAGTGACTCTATGAAAAATAGATCTGAAGCAATAGAGGGTAAAATTGCAATAGATGGTAATATTAATTGTTACTGTTGTTGTGTGCTATAGAATAAGACCTGACTCATAGCTGGCCATTAAGTGAATAAGTAGAGTAAATTTTTATTCATAGTTTGGGAAGCAGAAAAGGCAGAAAAGTTTGAGATTCCAATCATTTCAAGAGCTGACTACAGTTATATTAGGTATTTCCACACATATTAGAATAATTGGTTATCCTCTTTCGCTGTGCATCCACACAGACATAAAGTACATGTGTGATTGTGTTTTTAACTCTTTATTATCGGGTTATACTTTTTAAAAAATAATTTTGATGTGCTAATTTAAAGAGTCAAAATGCAAGGAATTTATTAAAGGAAAACCAATTGATCCTAAGAAACAAGGTTAAGTGTAAATTAATTATAGAGGAAAAATCAAGTACCAATTTGTTGTCTTTACTTGACATCAAGATTGGTAACAAATATTTAGTTTCTTTGTCAACAGAGGAAAAAAGAAAGGCAGTTAAGTTTTAGAAAGAGTTATTTAGATTAGGTCTTTCTCAAGCACTTTCTGTGAGAGTTAAAGAACGGCCTCCTTTTGAGATAAAGACATCCATGCTATCTGTGCCAGGTGATTCAGGCAACACCACATGTGAAGGCAGTAAGTCTTCCCTTGGAGATCTTGATCTTGGTGACCTTCCAAATACATTACTAAATCAATTATTTTAGTAAAACCCCCAAATTTTGGCAGAATTTGGAACTGAAATAATCATAGATATGCAGTTTCATCTGGAACAATGTATAATTTTATCTATAAGTTTCTATTTAAATCTTGTTTAGAAACAAAGCTAGGAAAAAAAAACCACAATTAAAGTATTCTTCTACATTCAATTAATTTAGCTTTATGAAATCTTAAGAGTAAGCAACAAACACTGTGCAATCAATTGTTTTAAAAACATGACCATGAATAAATAGTTAAGATTCTGGTGAACATATTTACATTGCTATTTTCATTAAATTAGCATATTTGATCCACTTTTGGAGTTTCGCTTTATATGTATTACTATTTGGGGAAAAACTATGATATAACTATTTGGGGAAAAACTATGACCTTACCCCAAATTGTACTTGAATGATTCTACTTATAGTTGCAAAATTGATATGGGATTTGCATTATGTAAGAGAAAAAGATCATTTGAAGACTATTGTCTCAAAAGTGGAGGAATCAGGTGGGAATACTGAATTTTAAGTAACTTGTCTATGAAACAAACAAACAAAAACCAAACTGTAGGGTTTTTGTTGTTATTGCTGTTGTTTCTGTAAGATAACAAGGTGAACTAATATTTTGGAAGATAAGAAAAATAATTTTCCTTTTACTAAGAAAAAACTGATTACTTTTTCATGGAATTTAAGAAATCTTTAGAAACTTGTGCACTAATTTATTTTGAATGGCAAAATGCTAACGCCAGTCATATTTCACACTGAGGCAAGTTGGCAAGAGGGGGTTTCTGTTTCCTTAGGTCATATTTTGAATAATACAAACTCTCAACACAACAGCTGACACTAATTTGATTCCAGGAATCACAATGGACCAGTGGATATGGACAGAATAATCCTGTAGATAAAAGCCTGTCTCAGTAATGAAGAAAATCTGCAGAATATCTACACGGACTTCCCCCCACCCCTTAAAGTGCATACAAAATAAAGTTAAAAAGTAAGGGGTGGCAACAATGTCCTTCTTTTCACAATACCCTGGGCTGCTGATCAAACACTATTCTTAGTCTCAAGTGTTATTGATCCATAACTTTCACCAACTTTGTGTTAATTCGGTAAACAATTGAGGAATCCATATACAATACTGCATGGTGATCGGAGGACCAGGGATGCATGGAAGAGGTCAAACAGTGAATTCTGGGTAATGATGGAGACGTGTTTCATGCAACACACATGCACAAAAGGATTTATTATCACCATATGCATACCACAGAAGCATGCACGCTTTCTAGGAAAACTCTAAATCCAGTTTTTAGTTTGATGAGAACAATGCGATTATTGTAGTTGCAATTCTTTGGATCTGCTATGATCTATCAGAAAAGAGAAGTTTCAAATTTTCAGCCAAGTCTACATTTATTCAGAAGTATTACTCAATGAAATATTACCCTATGGGAGCTGGAAGTCATGCCAATGATTTCAGACTAATGTAGGACACAGTGAAAATGATTAGAATGTGATATAAAATAATAGAAAATGACTCTCATGCATACACAGTTTACTACCACAGTAAGCTTAAAACCATACCCCCTGCCATCCAGGAACGTGAAACTAGTTTCAAGGAAACAAAAGAGGAACAAGTGAAGAGATGCTGTCGTGTAGCACTTTGCTTATTTTCTTTCATCTTGTATTCTTTTTTTTTTTTCACTGAAATAGGCTTATGTGCCTCTTTCACACTGGAATAAATTAAATTGATTGGTTTCTTTTATATATTTAGGAAGTATCATTGTAAACCTAAGCATCTATATATATTTTTTTCTTTTTTCTTTTTAATCCCCCAGTAAAAAAGGAGCTCATAAATATTTAGTGGCCCAGCCGGGAAAGTAAAATCAAGCCATAATATCTCTCCACCAGGCGCCTGGACTAGCTAAGGGCAGCATGAAGATGTTGCATTGAACAGGGCATACAGCAGGCAATTTAACATGCCAAGTAAAGGGGAGTTTTGAGCATCAGTTGATGAAATACGAGTCTGTACATTACCTTTGACATTGCGACCATTGTCTGTTTTGAGCATATAAGGATAAAAAAAGAGAAAAAATATAAAAAGACTAAAATTACGTTATATTTACATAAAATTGCTTTTGTAAAACAGTCAGAGAAAGCAGAATATCAAAACAGAAAATTTAACATTGACTAAAAGTAGTATATTTATTATCCAAGAAAGAAAGATGCATATATTAAGAATAATATTTATGATAATAAACATCCATGCTTAATTATGGGACTCATTCATTTCACTTAAGAGGATTTCAAAATGCAGATTTTGTAATTACAACAGTTTGGAGAAATACATGCTCAGCTGATTGCTGTTCAAACTTTCAGCGTTGATCAAAACTTTACACCTTGGCAGAAGCCGGTTTTATTTTTCGGTTTTTAAAAAATTTTTTTAGAAGCCAGTTTTAACATTTCAATAATCACTTCTGTTGATTACACAAATAAAGACTACACACTGTTTTTCATGTTAAGCAATTTTTTTCATATCACGTAATTTATTACAACAATAAGGGAAAATATTTCCAAGACAACAGACAGCTTTAATAGACCAATTTGCTTTATAAATCACAATTTTATTGTCTCCATAAATACATCTCAATGCATATTTTGAAAATGAAATACAGTTCAGAGTCATTTCCAGGCAAAAATAGTCACAGGAATTCAGTGAAAAATCTGTTTTAAAGGACCTTGGAATTTTCTTCTTTCTGTAAATAATCCACTCACAGTAGAATGTAGAAGCTACTGCATTCAGGAATTCACTTATATTAAAATGGGTAGCTTCACACTCAGATTTGTGTGTGTTCAGATTTATTTTGAGATTAGCAATCTGACTCTTTAGTGCATATTTGCTGCTAACAAAATATGCATTGCTAGTTTTAAAACAAACAAGCTTAAAATAAATGAAGTCATGTCAAAACCATTCAAATATATCCAAGATTTGAAAAATCTGTTCAACATTTTGTTGGCATCTATGCTAACACTGTGCATATTTAAAATCTTAGGATATATCATAATTGTTTCAAAGCTTAAAATGAAAGCAATTCCAATAGTGTGGTCTATTGAATTGCCAAAATAGACATTGCCTGAGACAGAGATACACAAATAAAAGTGTGCTAAACAAAAGAGCTCTATTCCTTTTTTTAGGGATTGTAAAAAGAAACTAAGGATAGAAACAGCACAGAGAGAGAGTTAGAATTACCTAGACTTAATATCTTCATATTAGGGAGCTCTGGTGTCCTAGTTATAAGGAACTGTGCTGTCAAGCTGAAGGCACATGATTCAAATCCACCAGCTGCTCTGGGAAAGAAAGATGAGCAATTTCTTCTTATGAGATTTTGAGGCTAAAAACCACAGGAGGGTCAGCTATAGTTGGTTACCATTCGACAGTACTCAGTATTCAACAACAACAACAACAACAACAACTTCAAATGAAGATCCTTGGCCTGGTGGTAAGAAGCTGCACTGCAATCCTAAAAGTACATGGTTCAAACCCAACAGCTACTCCCCAGAGAAAGACAGGCAATCTCCTCTTGTGCAATTTTATTGCCCCTGATAACTTGATGAAGGGTTAACGATAAATTGATTTTGACTTGACGGGATACAACATCTTTGAGAGAAGTAGGATTTAAACAATATTTTTAAATGTAGCTGCTTGCAAATATTTAAAAAAAACATAATTCTACTCACCAGGCCTGAGCATTATGTAAAAGCATTTCTCAATTCTAGGAAAATTTATCAAAAGTTATATAGTTAATACTGCTTTGAAATGATAAGGCAGTGTATAAGGTCTATGCTTTGGTGCTAGCTAAGATCTATTCATGCATGATAACATATATGCAGAACTCAGAGTCAACATTTAAAATCTGTACTGAAATTTGGCTGAATGATTTTATAATTATTAACTTATTATAGTTTATATCTATGTTTTGTATGTCTATTAAGATTCATATATATAGCAATGTACTTTTATTGTAATTAAACATGAATTGGTCCATAATAGGTTAGGAAAAAATTATAATGGTTTGAGAAATATAAATTTAAGATATTTGATTATGCAGAGTAAATTATAGAATAATAAAAAATGTTTTCCATTAATGTATTTATATATTAAGATATTTAGAATTATTGAAAAATTTTAAAGATTGAATATATATATATATATATAGAGAGAGAGAGAGAGAGAGAGAGAGAGATTTTCACTTTGAGGAGATAATCTGAATTTAAAAATCTAGTGTGTTAAATCTAGTGATTTAATCCAATTACATGGATTGTAAAACTAAAGTTTGATTTAAAGGTTTTCCATTTCTTTTGTTAATAGGTAAGTTTCTAAAATATATTAAAGTATGTAGCTTGGGAAGTATAGCTATTTCTACAATAATGACTGATTTTGTTGCTAAATGTGCTTTAACGAGAAGTACAAAGCACCCTCTAAATTTATCAGTCTTAGTCACATGTTGACTACAGCATCTGTAACACAGTAAGACAGTGATATATTTTCTGAAAATAACATAGCTTGTGTGTGGGAGGAAAATTAAGGATGATCTTAGTACTAAGTGTATGTGTAAAGTACTTATGCTTAGAAATTTAAGATATTAGACCATTCTTTTCCATACTGATACATCAGTTGTATCAGTAACTGTGTACTAATTAGAGACCACATAAATGAAAACAGCAAAGTTAAATTATGAATTATTATTTAAACTATTCAGCACTACTGTCAAAATACAGACTTAAGTCTGTGCCAAACACTGATTATTTATTAGTTTAAGATTGATTTTTCCCTCACAAATGTAGACATATTGTAAGTCAGGTTTTAGGAAATAAAGCCACTATGAAAAATTCATATAATTGGCTAAAGTTTATAAAACCAAGTGGGCTAACTAAAGCTTATGTTAGGCACTTGAATGGCCATATCACATTTTTTTGGTTGTTGTTCAGGCATAGGAACCATTGCTCAAAAATTAAATGACATATTTCATTTTGTTAGGAGGTATTGCCTTCACCAATACTATGAGGCATAGAGTCTTAGATGATTATTTAGTTTGCAGTTGTCCTTGGTTTTATTTTCCTTTTGACCCTTTTTTGACATAAGACTAAAACTGATAGGCTAATTGCTCTTGTACCACATACACTTTTTGCAAACACATTTTAATAACTGTTCCTTCAGTTTCTGTGGTATTGATTTATCTCTCTTTGATTTTGTTCTGGTCAGTCATTCTCTTTCATTATTTCTGCCTTCTTGGCTTCACTGTGATTGTTAAAGAAAGATCCTCTCCAGCCCGTAAGACTTAATCTTAACATTCTTGTGTAAATTCCAGTGTATTACAGCATAATATTTTTGTAGATGTGTGGTTTAGGACCATAATTCACCAGCATGATTCTTTCAATGTCAAGCATTTATTGAGTGTCTACCATGATATGTTGTTATTGACAGCCTCAAAAACCTAATCAAGGGTGCTCTATTAGTTCTACTTTTGACAGCAGAAGTGTTGGCAAGCCAGGAAGCAGGTAATTGGGCTGGACACTGTGCAGAACTAAGTCAAAGCTTCTGTGCTAGAAGTTTATGGTAATATGACTGCACACCTAATAGCAATGACAAACACTTAATGACAAACTCAATAAAATAAAATCCTACAGTGTATGTAAACAAACTGCTGTACACATTCAGGTACGAACTTATTTTATTCCTCTGGTTTTGGAAGAGAAAAATGAGCTCCAAAGGAGAGAGGCATTTGAACTATGTCTTAAGCTATGTAGTGTCAAGAAGGACAAAATGGAAAAGAATATTTCAAGCAGAACAATGTAATGAATAGAGTAATGAAGCAAGAAAATTCATGATACAGTTTTGTGAAAAGGCAATTATCTTTGTGCAGGCTTACAATAGAGCAGTGAAGAGACAAGAGAAGGATTTAGAAATAGCTAGAAAAAGAACTATGGCCAGTAAGTAGGTGCCTAGTTTCCTACATTAAGAAGTCCCATGATCAAGTTTGTTTAAAAGTAGAAAACAGTAGCAGCATGAGTGATGGTGGCAATCATCAGAAAAGTAGGCTGGCATCTCAGTAATCCAAACCTCGGAGATTCAGAAAATTGGACCTGGTAGATGCATGCATTGGACATTCTAATACTCATACTCTGGGGAAAGTCTAGAAATGCATCAGCTTTTGTTTCTACCAGGTATTCAATAGCAGGAATGAGTGAGAAAAGCATACAGGAGTCACTGCATTGATTGATGCAGGATCTGGAGATGAGCAGCTGTTAGATGCCATGGAGTTGACTATGAGTCATAGCGACCCTGTGAGCAATGGGCCTTAACCTTAGCCTGATACACTCAAGTCTATTGTTACAGTCACTGTCAAACTATCTTGTTGAGGGAAATGACCAGTAGTGGGTTTGAATCCAAACTCTGACAATGACTAGCTCCATAACTTTGTCAGTTACTTTCTTAACATATCTGAGCCTCAGTTTCTTTATCTAAAAATTGGGATCAAAACCAGTTCATAACTAATATTGTGATGAGAATTGACATTTAATGTGTGTACAACACTAACATCACCTCATACGGCTAATGTTCAAATTCATCCATTACTGTGCTGAGGAATGATTTTTGTCAACATCTTATTTTCACTACAAGAAGCTCTGATAGTCAAATGGTTGTGTGCTGAACTCCTAACCTAAAAGTTGGTGATCAAATCCATATAGAAGCTCCTTGGAAGAAAAAACATATTGATTTCCTCTCTTAAATATTATAGCCTAGAAAATCTATTGGCTTATTTTTCTCTATCATATGACTAATCTCGATGAGTCTAACTCAATGACACCTAACAACAACTACTTTCACTACTGGTTAATTTAAGAATGTGAGCATAAAAAGGTCAGGTGGAAAGAAAGAAATTTGACTTTTTGTGTTGGCTTTGGTCATGATCAGGAAATTCAGGGTTATTTTTTCACTGCAAACCTTTAGTCTCTGCCATTTAGCCTTGATCCTTACCAATTTATAATTTCTGATTACTCAGTCTATTGCATTTAACATACCTCTTCCTTTGGAAAGAACTGGTCAATAAACAGTTACGTGATTTTTCTGCCTAGAATGTTATTATTTGCTAAATGCAGCAAAATTAATTATTCTTGAGATGAAAGTATTCATCACTTAAGAGCATCACTTAATGAATTTTACTTAACACCCCATGAAACTCAAGCTTGTTGCCGTTGAGTAGGCAGATAAAGGTTCTCACATTATTACAGAAACCCAGGTATACAGAAGTCAGAAGAAATCAAACTACTCAGTTGGGTTCAAAGAAGAAATCAACAACAATCTTGAATTTAGGATCCATATTTTCAATAGCCTTTGATCACATTTCTTCCCTCAAGGCAATAAGATAATTGTTGAAATAATACCATGAAAAAAATTTGTTTCCTATTGATATGTGTATTAAAAAATTAAACATACCTTCACTGGCATGCCGGTCTCTAAATACACTCTTCGGGTGAACGCTGAATCCTTCTATGTCGTGCACTGAAGATGCTCTGCGTATACTACAGAGGCTTTCTCTGGATCTGGAGTGGGCCAGCTGGGAGCTGGATTGCAGCATGTCAGGGTAGAGTCGGTCCCATTGCCTTTTGGGAGAAGAATGGTCAAGAGGTCCAGATATATTCACTAAGGGAGAACATTTGCTAGGCTGTATCAAGGCTTTTGTATCATCTGCTTCAGAGGGGCTGCAGCTTTCTTTTGTGGGAGACTTAAAGTGCTTCATGGCAACAGAATCATCACTGTGTTTGGACGAATCGATGACGACCACATCAGGGTCTTCTTGCGGTAGAGACTGCTTCCTGTAGGTGAGGACTCTCAACCCAGGGAACTTCAACCCAAAGAGTCTGCCTACAGATGCAAAGAAAAAAGATCATTACTATAATATTTTTAAAAACCTATTTTTTTTAAAGCGTAACAAACACTGCAAATACCACCAAAGCAACCATTTCTGGTTTATGCTAAAATAAATTTAAAAGTTCATAACTTAGCCAATTAAAATAAGAATATTGCTTTTAAAAAACAAAGCAGAGACAACAAATTCCCTGGAGGCATATAAATTGTAAGAAAAAGAGCAAACTTCTCTGCCTTGTTTCTGATGGTTAGATAGTATTCAGCGATGTGAAATCATTACTTGAATGAGAGAGTGTTTATATTTTTAAGTAAAAAACACATACTCACTGAACACTTGCGCCCTTCCACGGATTTGAGGAATAAGCAGAGTTTCAAAAAGAGGAAAAACAGATAAAGCACTGTGTATAAAGACACACACACATGGGAAAGTTATGTTAGCTCATGTGAGGACACTAAGTAGTAGGAGTAAGTAGACTAGGAGTTAGGTGGGGTATGAAGCTAGCCAGATACATCTAGAAGGTTTGTAGTAGATGATGTTGTAAAATAAGTTTGGAAGGGGAAAAGTAAGAGCAACTTCAAGATCAGTTCTGCATTCCATTTGGAAGCCTCAAAGAACTTTGTTTAAGAAAGAGATATATTGTAGATATAAGAATTTATTTTTGTCAATTGTTTTTAACTTTTAAATATAAGAATATGGCATTGAGGGTTATTTATGATATCTCATAGTAAATAGAGAGCATTGGTGGACTAATGGTAAGTAGTTGTGCTGCCAACCTCAAAGCGGGTGATTTGATGCACCAATTGCTTTTCAGGAGAAAGATGGGCAATTTCCTTCTGTGACACTTACAGCCTCTGAAAACTCACTGGAGGGTCAGCTTTGACTCAACAAGAAGAATGTACTAAAAGGAAATAAAATCTAAGTCTTAAACAATGGATATTCAAATTAAAGGATTAAGAAGGACATAAACTAAAAATTAGTCTAAAATAGAAATAAAAACATATCATTTTCTACTCTTCATTTGAACAGTAGAGGGGGGAAATAACATAAAAGCTAGTATTGGCAAAGAATAATGGTATACATTTTGATACTTTCCTGGCAGGATGAAAATGGCTACAAGTTCTTTGGAAAGTAACCAGATAATTTCTATTAAAATAAAAAAAAATTAAAATTTGACTCAGACCTCTCACAGGATGTTACAAGCCACAAACACTCATAGTCCAAATATGTACCTTCAGAAGGAAAAGGTTGAATAAATTATCAATTTTATACTTTATTATTGTTTTAAAGCACTAAAATGTCTGTTTTGATTTGGAAGGTAGTTCATAACATAGCTTGAAGCTGAAAAAGAAACATCACTTCAATTTGTATATAACTATCTTATTTCATGAAAATTTTTAGAAGCTTCTTGTTGTTATGTGCTATTGACTTGCCTATTATTCATAGTGATCATACATGTAATAGCTCTGAATCCTGCCCTGTCTAGAGCCAACCTCACTGTCTAATACACTTTCCCCCATTGCTATAGTCACTGTGTCAATCTATCTCTTCCAGAGTCTTCCTCTCCTGCTCTGACTCTCCATGCTTCCAAACTTGATGCACGCCTCCATGGATTGGTCTCTCCTACCAAACATGCCCAAAGCCTGTGAGACAGAATTTCAAACTTCTTGCCTCTAAGTAGCACCCTGATTTCACTCTTTCCAGGACAGACCTATATGTTCTCTTGGCAGTCCATAGTACGTAATAGTCCTCTCCAGCACAACTCAAAGGCATTACTTCTTCATCTGTCAGCTCTAGTCATTGTCCAGTTCTCAAATGCAGAGTAAGTAACTGATAAGACCATAGTGTGGACCAGGCATACTGTAGTCTCTAGACAGATATCCTTGTATTTTAGCACTCTGTAGAGGTCCCTGACAGTAGACTTTCCCAGTGCAAATCGTCTTTCAATTTCCTGACTGCTGGTTCCAAGCATGTTGATTGTGAATCCTAGCAAGATGAAATTGTTATCAACTTCAATCTTTTCTCCATGTGTCATGATGCTGCCAAATGGCCTGGTGATGAGAATCTTTGTTTTCTTGATGTTGAGCTTCAATCCATATTGAAGGATGCAGTCCTTGACCTTTTGCAAAAGCAAATGTCTCAGGTTCTCCTCAGAACTGGCATGTAGAGTTGTGTTATCTGCATAACACAGCTTGTTGATGAGTTCCTCTAATCCTTCTACTACATTCTTCCTCATGAAGTCCAGACTTCTGAATTATCTGTTCCATTGATTGAAAGGCATGGAGAAACGACACATCCTTGATGCACTCCTTTCTTGATTTTGAACCATGCAATGTTTCCTTGCTCTGTTTAGAAGCTTAAAATTATTTTGCATAAAACATGACTGTGATAAAAGATATGGAAGAAATACTCAAAGCTTTCAATGTTAATTAGCTCAGTGAAAAATTTGAACTATGTGTGGTATAATATATATTGCATTCTTTTTTAGCTATCACTATTTCACAATTGAATCAACCAATTCTTTTTGGTGTAGTGACTCTGTGAATATCATTGATTTTTTGATGCATCCGACATAATTCAAAGTTTTGCCCATAGAATCCTAGCATTGCAACCCAAGACTTGAATTTATGTACTTTCAACTTGAGAAATGCTGAGCATGTTCTTCCTCTCTTTTGGTTTTTTTACTCCTGCTCTTTGCTCATTTTGTTACAATACTTTGCTTTATCTTCTCAAGCTGACCTTGGAATCTTCTGCTCATCTCTTTTCCATCAGCATTTCTTCTCTTTGTCTGGGATTATCTATGTTCTCATGGAATTTTCAGTGTCTTTTCTGACACCCATTTTGTCTTTACTTTCTCATCTGTCTTGGTAATGATCTTTTGCCTTCTTCATATCCCTGATGTCATTCTACAACTCATCTGGTCTTTGATAATTAGTGTTTGATGTTTCAAATCCATTCTTGAATTTTCTTTTTTAATTCAGGTGGAACTCAAGGTTGTGTTTTGGTACTGATGACCTTACTTGAATTTCCTTAAACTTCAATTTGAACTTGCATGGATGTAATTGATAAAGTTTTCCACAGGAAGTTTAAGCTGCACTGAATGTATTGGCAGTAAACAATACCCTAGGAACTAATTGCCATCTTTCAATAAGCAGATGCACACTTATATGTGCTCCCTAGTCTCTGGCAAGAAATTTGGAAGACAGTAAACTGACAAACAGACTGGAAGACAGCCATGTTTTTCCCTTTCCCAAAAAGTGATCCTACAGAATATGGAAATATTAAGTAATATCATTAATACATGCAAATAAAATCTTGCTAAAGTTATGAAAAAGTAGCCATAACAGTCCATTGACAAAGAACTGGTCATGGCATGAAGGGTATCATTGCTGATGTTAGACTGATTTTGATGGAAAGCAGAGAATATCAGAAATGTGTTTTATTGACTGTGCAAAGACATTTGACTGTGAAAAACAAGGCTCCTAGGATACTTAACTGTGCTCATGTGACACACCTAACCCAAGAAACATTTTTCTGAACAGAACTAGGAAATACTATATGGCTTAAAATGAGAGACGTACATCAGGGTTATATACTTTCTTCACACCTATTCAATCTGTATGCTGAGCAAATAATTCAAGAAATAGGACTACATGAAGACTAATACGGTATCTGGATTAGATGAAGTCTCATCAACATAAGGTATGGATATGACCTGAACTTGCTAGCTAAAAGTGAAGAGGACTTGAAACACTGGATACAGAACAACAAAGAGTATAATATGGATTAAATACAATATGGATTACATTTCAATACCAAGAAAACAAAAAATCATCACCACAGACCAGTCTGTGATAGACAGAAAAATGATTGAAATTGTAATCTTCATGATAGATGGAGAAAAGTTTGACATTTTTAATACTTTAATTTTATGTGGATCTACAAATAACACTTGTGGTAGCAATAGTCAAGAAATCAAAAGGTGTATTTTATTAAGACAACCTGTTGTCAAGAAACTCTCCAAAGTACTAAAGAGCAAGGATATCTGTTTAAAGACTAAGGTATACCTTGTCCAAGTCTTTTTTCCCTCCAATTAATTTCTATGCATCTGAAAATTGGAGAAAGAATTAGGATAACTAAAGATTTGATGCATTTGAACTCTGTTGTTGAAGAAGAGTACCAAATAACCTATGGTTTGCCAAAAGGAAAAACAAGTCTGTCTTTGAGGAAGTGTAATCAAAATGCTTCTTAGAGGGAAAGACGTCGTAACTTCAACTCATATACTTTGGATATGTTGTCAGGAGGTACCAGTAATTGGAAGATGGGTGCCAATTGGCCCATTGGTGAGAATTTTTGTTTTCTCGGTATTGAGCTTCAATCCATATTTAAAATTACAGTCCTTGACCTTCTAGAGCAAACTCCTTATGTACTCCTCAGTTTCAGGAAGCAAGGTGGTGTCATCTGAATAATGCAGGTTGTTGATTAGTATTCCTCCAGTCCTGATGTCACATTCCTCCTCATAAAGTTCAGCCTCTCAAGTGATCTGTTCCACATATATATTGAAAAGGTATGGAGATAGGATGCATCCCTGGCATACACCTTTCCTAATTTTGAACCATGCAGTGTTTCCTTGCTCTGTTCTAACGACTGTTCTTCTGAATCAAGTATAGGTTTCACATGAGCACAATCAGGTGTTCTCGAATTCCCATTCTTCTCAACGTTAGCTACAATTTGTTGTGATCCAATCAACTTCCTTTTCATGGTCAATGAAACACAGATAGACATCCCTCTAGTACTCTGTGCTTTCAACTAAGATAGATCTAACACATATGAAGAAACTGAAAATGCCATTACTTGGGTCAAGCATACTTTCGTCCTCAAGGTGATATTTTTGTTCTTTAACATTTTAAAGAGTCTCCTTGCAGTATAGTCACTAAATGCAATATCTTATTTACTTTCTTGACTTATGCTTCTATGGGCATTGATTATGGATCC